TACAGATGTGCAGACATTGAGCGATGCGAATGACGTGGTTCGCGTGGTGAAGTTCATTGTGAAGCCAAAGCTGGACAACGTGCCAACCGATGAGTTGGTGCTTTACCGGACAGAAGATGCAAAGAACCGATCGGATGAGCCACTGTCGTCCAACATGCCAATCTCCGAGTTGGTGCAACAGTCCTTAGGTTTATACGGTGAGCCAGTCTTCCTTGACTACGATGCCGCGACGGCCACATCATCACAGGCCACGCAATCTCATCCTTCCACGTTTTAAATTTCAGGTTTCCCTTCCCCGCTTATCCCCACTACTTAGCCTATTTAGTCCCCTTAAGTAGTTCACGCTAGGAGGTTTGGTCCTTGCTAGGATTATTGCTTGGTTAGTTTGTTGGCTCGGGGCTGTGACATGTTCATTTGTTTGGTTTTTTTTTTGGCTCGTCAGCCAGATCACAAAGCAGGTCACCGAGGCCGGCAAGGAGTTCCTGAATGCAATTCAGAACGGACGGCACGGGGAGTTCGGGGAGCTCGAGATGAAGATGTTGCATGTCTTCGCGCAGACTCACGACGAGCAGGTACAAAAGCGTTTGCGTTATTTGGTCACCGGTGATGCCAAGCACAACAACAGCGAGGATCCTCTGACATTTGACGGGGCTTTGGACAACTTTTTGTCGTCAGTGCAGCAGGACGCGAAAAAGAGTGTTTCCTGGGCAAAGAACTTTGACAGATCGATCGGAGTGCTGCGCCTGCAGGCCAATGCTGTCTGCTTTGCGGCGGCTGCTGCTACTTTTACAGCATATGCCGGGAATTATGATCCTGACTATCAGAGAGAACATCACACGACCGTCAACGCGTTGAAGAGCATCCTCCACCAAGCACCGTTTGAGGCCATCCAAACATACCTTCGAGGGCAAGGTTACCCAGCATTTGCTTTTTTGCTTTCCGCTACGAAAATGCAGCAAGATGACTTCTTGCCGATGTCTTGCCAAGCTGGAGCATCGCCGCAGCAGTGTGCCAACAATTTGATACAGTTGGGGGTAGCGCTTGTGACAGGATTCAGAACCACACAAAGCTTCAAGGCTGACGGCGCTCTGGAGCATAAGCAACTTACAGGGGCAGAGGGTGAATCGCATGCGATGGTGGCCATCGGCTTCTACCAAAAATCCGAGCAGACCTTCTTTATCCTGCAGAATGGCTGGGTGCGGAAGCCCTTCGTGAGCGCTTCATGGCACGCTCTCGTGCAAGCCCGTGCTACGTTCCATTTCTGCAGGGATGGCGTTCAACTCAATCTCGATCCAAATCGATGCTCCCTTCTTCAGGATGTGATTTGCGCAGACTGTGCCATGGATGCAGGCCCAGATGCATGTGAGCCGGACTTTGCTTGAGTTGTGGACAGCCCGACCGATGCTATGTGCGGGAAAACAGTCGTCTCTAAAAGGTGAAGCGAGGTGCAGTTGTTTTTGAGCCACGCTGCGTGGTTCGTGAGGCTTTTTCTACGCTTCTTCTTGCATATCCCCATGACATGAGGATATCAACAGCGCAGTGTGTGTCATTGGTATCCCCCCTGCCTGAACGATGATTCTCATCAAAACATCGTCGTAACTTCACCCATTAGGAGGAGTTCTTAGATGTGCAGTGAAATCCGCAACTGACTGTTGCTGCATGTGGGAGCATTCTGCAACTGTCTAGCACGTGTCCCCAAAATGGTTCGGCTTGTGAACAGGGAAGTATGAAGTGTCTAGCTGGTAAACCAGAACGCAGTCAGCAGGGCAATTCAAACGAGGACGTTTCTGTGATATTGTACACGTGTATGTACATTTACTCAGACTTTTGCGAGCCTCTTGCCATTTAGTTTTTCAGCAGGCTCAGCCTTTCCAAAACAAAACACGCAAACGATAAAACATACACCAGTGTTAGTGGATATGTCGATCAGCAAGCACAAAACAGTTTAAACACGTGACAGCAAGATGAAACCTAAGCAAAAGCAAAGAAAAAATAGTTTTGTGATGCCTCTAACATAGCTTCAATAGCTCAAATCTTAAATAAGCTCTGTCCAT